AAAAAAAAAAAAGGCAAGAGGAAGTTAAGTGAGTTTTCACCAAAGTTTGATGAGTACCCTATTCCAAAAAGGACTTCAGTAGCACAGAGATGCATATAAAATTGCACAATAAGACAAAATAAGTAATAAAAATAAGACAAAGGGACAGCTGGGTTAGCAAGGCAAGATGGATCTGAGTGTGAGATTAGAAGCCAAAAGCATACTATGAAATCCCACATTTTTGCTCATGGTGGGTTACAGATCTAGTTTTGGGGAGCTTCAGTTTTCTGGCAACATTGACAAAGAAAGAAGTTGTATTAGTGATATCATTCATGGGGTCCATGAGGTAAGCAAAAGCTAATTATCCAGGGAAAGTACAATCACCCATGACACTGAGGGCAGAGAGAAATCATCCTGGTTAAATTCTCAGATTAAATTGCTTCTTATAATCCTTTCCTATTTAGCATGAACTGGTGGCATAATGCTAAAATTCATTTTGCCAAAAGAAATTTTATAGAGTTGGCAGGGTAGAGGTGCTAATAAGATCAAAGTTTAGTATAAAATTAGACTATATGCAGAAAGATAAACACATAGGACATTCCATTTTTATTTAATTGCATAATATTGAGTATCAGTTGAACTAGAAAGTTTTAGGAAGTGTTCTTGTTCCATGTCTTATTTAGGAATTACAAAAACCATACCATTGTGGTACTTTTAGGGACTTCAGTAACCACTCTCCCCCCTTTTTTTCCTAGATGAAGAAACTAAGGCTCAGAAAGGTTAGGGAATTTCAAGGTTGTACAGTGATTAGTACAGCTGGAAATTAGAATAGGTATTTTTTGTTTCCAAATCCAATGCATTTAGATATTAAAGGATGCTTAAAAGTCTAGGTTTGAATTCAGGCTTTCAGAGGTCATTAACACCATGTTACTTGTAAAAATGCTTGCTTTTAGGCATTCAGCTGCATGTAAATAGCTAAATGTAGACCAGAAGTTGTTTTTCCCATGACTAGGTCCTTGTTCTATTGTTATATTTTACCTGTGATCCTCCAGAGTGATCAATTTTTTTCAAAATTATATTGTTCTATTTCTAGCACTAATTAAAAGGGCCTTGTTATATATAAATACCATTTTTTGTTTTGTACCACTGAAAACATTCACATGTGTGTAAGAACATCTGCTTTTCCCCAAGTTTCAAAAAAGCAGTGAAGTATTCTTTTCTGCATGGCCTATTCCTATAGGAAATAATTATTTTCATCTTGTTTTTTTTTTGGAGAACTCTAAGTGATATGTTCGTTGTAATAAAGTGAAGCAAGAACAAGAAGTCAGAAGATAAGATTTTATCCTTTTTAGAATAAACAGAATCACAGAATTAGGCACAGAGTAGGAAATATCAAATTATCTCAGATCCAGTGTCCTTGAATTTAGAACATCTATTTTCCAAATACATATTTAGAAAAGGATTCAGGCAATGTGTCCTTACATGATTTGAATGGAGGCAGAATTCTAACACTTTAAAAATGGCATTAAGGTGATCTTTATTTCCTCCAAATTGCTGCCTGCTGTGAATTTGTTTTTCTGCTGGCATTTCTGGTCTCTAAAGCTTTAGGTTAAAAAGAGGGGGAAATCTGCTACTTTTAACAGTTTCTTTTTGGTTCCAAAATCTGTCTCTTTGTTTCCCATGGAGAAGCTGCGTGTATCCCTAAGGATACCAAAGCCGTTTTCCAGCAATAGATAGAACCTTTATTGTACCCAGGGATAAACCAGAGGATGAGGAAGAGATGTGTAGGATTCAGAACAGAACTGGACATTCCAACCCTGACTTGGGGCCAGCTTCTGGTTTGATTACTCACCTTCACCCTAGCAACTGCTTCATTTTGATCCCATTCCCATCCCAAAGGAGCATCCTTTGGAGTGGAGGGGGGTCCCCTTGTAGGAGAATATAAGCATCTACATACTTGGAGCACCATTTGAGTACTGAACACCTATGTTTGGGGCTTATGAAGCATTTCTCTCAGAGTTCTGATTTTACTATTCCATAATAGAAGGCAAGCATACATGCATGTGTTGTATAAAAAAGTACAATTTATGATCTGCCCATTTTCCTTATGTCACCCCAATTGCCTACATTCTGAATGGTTGAAGTATATAGTGTTCTTAGCTGTTTTACATCAATTCCACACCACTGGTCTTATTTATAATATTTGAAAGCATTCACTCATTCAAAGAAAACCGTTTGTTGAGGCCCTAGTATATGCCAGACTCTCTGCCTTATTTATAGGCAACATGATTAATACTTACGATAATGATAACTGAAAAAGAAAGCAGACTTTGTCTAATGATTGCAACTGTAGAAAAATGGGCCAAATCAGAGACAGAGCAAAGGGGAATGAAAACTGTGTTGGAATAGAGTTGACTGATTATAGAAGAGTTTTTTTTCTTGAAAATATTTAGAGTTTTCTTAAATTGTTTTTAAGACTAAGAACAAAACTAAATTCAAATATATGTAACTATTCAAGCCAGATAATTCTGAATACTTCCAGTTGTTAGAACTCCCCTATCTTTTTCATTTCCCGTATCTCCAGCCCCTAACCTAGGGTCTGGCACACAGGAATTTTGTCAGTGTTTGGTGAATGAATTAATTCAAGCAAAAGAATTATAGAGCCTTTATGGCAGTAGTTCTCAACCAGTGGGTCCCAACCGCTTTGGGGGTCAAACGACCTTGCACAGAGGTCGCCTAAGACCATGGGAAAACTCAGATATTTACATTATGATTCATAACAGTAGCAAAATTACAGTTATGACGTAGCAACGAAAATAATTTTATGGTTGGGGGTGACAACACGAGGAACTGTATGAAAGGCTCGCGGCATTGGGAAGGTTGAGAACCACTGCTTTATGGATTTGCAGCGATTACCTCGCTGGTTGATCGGATTTTCATAAAGGCCTGTCTGGCATTTGCCTTGCAGCACACCAAACTGTAACTAATCATTCTGTTCTCTTTGTATTATTTATAGGGATATTTTGCACCATTTCCCTCTGTACTTACGCCGCCAGTGTCTCTTATGATTTGAACCGGCTCCCAAAGCTAATTTATAGCCTGCCTGCCGATGTGCAGCATGGCTACAGCTGGTCCATCTTCTGTGCCTGGTGCAGTTTAGGCTTTATTGTGGCAGCTGGAGGTCTCTGCATCGCTTATCCATTTATTAGCCAGACCAAGATTGCACAGCTCAAGTCTGGCAGAGACTCCACGGTATGACTGTCTGCGCTCAGGGCCCGTCCACAGTGCCGGTCACCCCCGAGGGGAGCGGCGCCGAGTTCACGTCCGGATTCGAAGCACAAGGCCGTCTTTGACATTCCAACCTATTGCCTGCAGCCTTTTCTGGATGACTGCTAGAAAATCATGCAAAACCTCCCAACCTTTCTAAGGACAAGACTACTGTGGATTCAAGTGCTTTAATGACTATTTATGCTTTGACTGTGAGAATAGAGAGCAGCGCCATGGGACATTTCTAGGTGTAGAAAAAGAGGAAACTGCAAGGGAAAAATTTGTATGGTTTCCATTTATTTCAGAAGGTTTGTATATAACAATTACCCGAGAGTCATTTCTATTTGCAAAAGGATTCGTAACAAAGCGAGTATAATTTTCTTGTCATGGTACTATGCTTGTTAAATTTTAATGCAGCATCTTCAGAACTTGTCCTAATGGTGTCTTGTTGTGTCAGCACCAAATCTTCGTGCAGTATTTGTGGATGTTCCTTGTCACAGGAAGATTCTTCTTCTGTTGCCTTATTGTTATTACTTTTTAATTGAAGTCTCTGTCTTTGTACTGGAATTGAAATCACAAGAAAACCAGATCAACCGTGTTTAAGAGCTAATCTGTGACACTATGCAGTAGCGTTTGAAGTCCTATCTGGTGTTCCGCCTCTGTCCCTTTATGTTAACTGGATTTCTGCATTAAATGACTGCCCCCTTGTTAATCTCGGTGTGTTCTCCTGTCTAGGCATACGGGACAGATGGGAACCCTTGTTTTCATAAGACTCCTCATTAGACTCACTCATGGCTTCATTTCCATTAGGTTGGTCAGTATTATTTATCTTTGTAGCAACGCACTTGCTTTTGACAAAGATGTCTTTTTTTTTTTTTTTTAAGACAGGGTCTTGCTCTTTCACCCAGGCAGGAGTACAGTAGCTAATTATAACTCACCGTAACTTTGAACTCCTAGGCGCAAGAGATCCTCTCACCTCGGCCTCCCAAAGTGGTGAGATTATAGGCATGAGCTCCTGTGCCTGGCCAAGATGCTATTTTTAAGCTTCTTTTTAAACTTACTATAACATATGAAATTTCTCTCTCTCCTTCTCTCTCCCCTTCAGCTGTACCTAAACTGGGCCTCACCTCAGACCAATTAACTCAGAATGTCCACAGCAGGCCTTAGAGTTGAGTATTTTAGGGAAGACATGTCAGATAATTCTGATGTGCAGCTGTGATTGAGAGTCATTTGTTAGCCCTAAACTGTGGTTACCTCCTGAACTACAGGATATTTCAGTGATATTTCAACCAGTATGCTGCGTCAGTATCTTAGGTATGCCACGAAAATTTTTAAAGACCATTAAAATTGTTTTCAAAGGAAGTTCAAAGCACAGTAAGTATATTCTTTTTTTCACTCTTTTTTTGATCAACATAATTGAAGTGTGCCATGGAGGTTTAACTATGGATTCAAGTGTGCTGTGAGATAGAAAAGGTTGAAAAACACGGGACTAAATTAACTTACTTAGCACTTATGCTCTATGCCAGTTGACTGGGCTGTGTTCTTCCCCAGGTGTTGTCCACTTAATGCCCCCAAAGCTCTGTGAGGTAGGTGCTGGTATTCTCCTTGTCTTGATAAGAAAGCTGAGAATGGAACCCAGAGTCTTGGCTTCATTTTTTTCCCTCAATCTTTCTCCTCTGTGTGGGTACAGGACAAAAGTCAAAGCCCTTCTACTGTGTTCCTCATCCCCAGGGGAGGGGCGGATATGGCTGACTGCTAAGCTTTTCCTTTTCACTCCACCGTCATCCCCTAATCACACAGCAAAGGTAAAGGCTCTGGACAGCAAGGGAAGATGCCGCATCCAAAGTGAGACACCTTTTCAGATTTTGATTTCATGAAGGGCACTGTTCTTTTTTTCTTGATAAAAACTGATTTAGAACTCATAAAAGGAAAATGATCAGCTAAGCCCAGAGTAAAGTCAGATTTCCGACTGACGGTGTCCACATACTGTGTAAGCTGATTTGATGAGCTTAGACAATGCTGGTGACCACACCAGCTCTTCATCCCGTGGTTTCAGGCACAGTGGCAGCCCGTGACAGTGTTGGGCTGGGCTGGGCAGCCCTCCCAGGCATGTTGAATGAACTGGTCCCTCTGGATGAGATCAGAAGACATACAGAAAGAGGCAATTATTTTCACTTATTTCTTATGTGGGAAATTCTCAAAGAGGGAGAGCTCTTTCTTTGAAGTCTTCTTTAAAGATCGCCATAGAAGATGTCAGGACTCTGGGACATTTATATTCCAACCACCAAAGCAGTGTCGGAGTGAGTAACTTTTGAAGTTTCAGAGAAGCTTCCTAGGGGTGTAAGGTGAGAATGGAAGAAAGCTTCACGGTGGCAGGAGGTTGAACCCTTCACACACCATAAAGATTTGCCCTGAAGCCAGAGCAGTATGCTTAGGACTCAAAGGAGCCCTGCAAAGGACTGAGCCTTCATGCTTTCCAGCCGGAGTAGGCTCAGAGCACTGAGCAGCCTTGGTACACGGCGGGGGGGTTGGGGGTTGGGGGTGGGGCTGGCGGGGGGGGCAGAGAAGGTTCTTTTATTGTCACAGAGTTCCATTTACTATCACAGAAGTGTGAGCCAGTATTGGCCCCCAGTCCCTGGGCTTCTCTTTAGGGGTATTTTCCTAACTGGCTTATGAATGAAGAGTGATTGAAATGGCTGCACAGCACTGTTTGGGACAGAATAATTTATTGAGGTCTTTTCTTTTTCTCCATATGTTCTCTCTGACCTACACGTTGCTTTTAACAGCCTTGTCCTGGGTTTATTTTCAGTGTTAGAATCACTGCCACCCACACTGAGGGAACCCTGTCCCCTTCGCCTTTGGCCCACTATGAACTCTAATATGGGAAACCTCCATAGAAGGTAATATTCCCCATAAAATTCTTTGTATCTTTCAGTAAATATTTATGAACACCTACCATGTGACTGGCACTATCCTTGGCACTTGGAAAACCTCGCTGAAGGAAAACAGACAAAGGTTCTTACCCGAGTGAAGCTTACATTTTAGTAAAATGCAGTAAAGTACACATGAAAAGTTAGAGTCCCCCTTTCTGGCCCTAAATGACTTTATAAATCCAGGATTAAAGTAATTCAGACAGTTACTAAAATAAACTTTAAAATTACATTCCCATCAGCTGTGCATTTCTTTTCACAACATTCTCACTATTTAAATTTATCCTCAGCAAAACAAAAAATAAATTAATAACCTTTGCGGGGAGTTGAACATTTTCCCATTTGAAACTTAAATCTGAGACTGACAAAAGGGGATGAAGAGGTTCCGGATCCTGGAACTCATGTAAATGGAGGCTTGGGAGCTCCAAGTAAGCCACCCCAGTGGAGGCCCGTGCTCCCGAGGCCCATGCTCCGCCCAGTGGAGGCCCATGCTCCCGAGGCCCATGCTCTGCCCAGTGGAGGTCCGTGCTCTGCCCAGTGGAGGCCCATGCTCCGCCCAGTGGAGGCCTGAGCTCCGCCCAGTGGAGGCCTGTGCTCCGCCCAGTGGAGGCCCGTGCTCCGCCCAGTGGAGGCCTGAGCTCCGCCCAGTGGAGGCCTGTGCTCTGGGATGCTCAGGTTGTCTGGTCACTGCCTCCAGGTCTTTGCTTGGGCTGTTTGCTCTGCTGGGGACACCCACTTTTCTACCTGGCTTACTCTGACTGTTCCTTGTGTCTCAGCTCACACACAGCATTGCTGGATGTCTCCTGAAAATATGCTGCCCAGCCTCAACCCCTTTCTTGACCTTTTGTAACCCTTTCCCAACCTTTTATACCTGCATGCTAATTACCTGCTAACCCATAAGCAGGTGGTAGGCTCAGGTGGAAACTGCCCTTTTTTGTGTTTTGTCTCCAGTGCTCAGCCTACCCCATGAATGGATTCAGAATCATAGGTAAACTCTTTTCTTCCCTGGACAGAACTGATTCCCTTAGCACCAATTTTAGGGAGCCCATAAAAAATAATACAGGAATGTGATGAGGCTAAATAGAAAAAGAATACAGCTTGGCAAGCAAGTAAGCCTCATCAGAATAATTAAAGGGACTATCAACCCAGATTAACCCAGACGTAACTTGAAATGTGTTATGAACTAAGTACTATGGAACATTTATTTGATGGCTCTAACATTATTAAGTTAGTAAGCTCAATATGGTTCTACACCTCAATTTAAAGCTTTCCCATTTATGTGTGGGTATGTTTTAAGCCCTAATTGGAATTCTGAAAGGAATGCTTCAAAAATGACTTTTCTTTGAATGCAAATAGCTATACTGGCCAAGAACTCTTTTAAACTTGCATTTGAATTTCTCAGGGGCCTTGTTCTTTAATTGGAAGGAGAGGAGGATCTCTGTGCCACAGGCAGGACAGCCACAAATGCTTGACGATTCCAGGGCATCCAATTGCACATGGGGCCGATGGCCATCCAATAAATGTCCTCTCATATGCAACCAGTATTTTTCCAGCCTTCAAATCAAGATTTCTAATTGTTCTAAAACCAATTAGAATATGTCTGTCTGGAGCCCCTGAAAGAGGAAAACGAATTGGTTGACTATAAAATAAGATAGTACTTTTCTGTCTTTATTTCTTATTTTTTCCTCCTCTTCAGCATTCCCTGTAATATCTTGCCTGCTATATATAAGGCCATGGGCCATGAGTGGTCTCTCTCAGGTCTCTAAGTGAATGTTTTGTAGACAGGAACGAGAAAAGAGCATGGTGTAGTTGAGGTAGGCAGAGCCTTGCTGGTTGCTGTGTGGAAGCTGGGTTTATTCTGGAAATAGCAATTAAAGGGTTTAAAGAGGGACAGTGATACGAACGGATTTCCACTTTAAGAATATTGGTGTTGCTGCTGGATAGAGAGTGGATTGGAAGAGGCCAAGATTGGAGGTGGAGAAACCAGTTGGGAGCAAGGGTGTTGCAGGAATCGTGAGAGAAGATGGGAGGCTGCACCAAGAGGTGGTGATAAAAATGGAGAGTAGAGGGTGGACAGATTTTAGAGACTACATTGATTTGCTGGTAAATTGGATGCAGGGAGGGGGTCGTTATCAAGGAAGACACCTACAGAATTTTGAGAGCTAGGTTATTTACTGAGGAAACTATACTTCTTGTACCTAAAGGGGGATAAAATAATTAGAGAAAAAAGGGAAAAAGAAAAAAAGTATGACGTCCCATGGTAAACCCAGTGTCTCACAGGATGGCCTTTATTTAATGGAGGCTGGGATTGAAAATCGTAATTGAGAATATGGTTCAGTGTCCCAGAGCGCCTTCTCTCTGCTTGATCCAACTGCCAGCTGCTGCTGCTTTGATTACTAGTTGTTCTCCAGAGGTTGCCCATACCAGGGTTGGGACTAGGATTTGCTTTGACTATGAACTTGTTCCATTGATGGTGACTGGGAAGATTTCAGTTCAGGCATGAGGGGAAAAGATGTAGTGATTGTGAGCTAACAGGAAAGGCAGATGTCACAAGCTGGCCACCCTTAGCCTAAATCCCATCTGATAGACTGTTGGTCTGCTGTAATGAAGCATTTTCCTTGTCTGGGGCTCACTGACATATTCTGAGAATAATATGACAGATATGAGGCAGGCCCCCACCTGCCTCAGGGCTGACATTTCTGACATACAAAATGCCCAGCCCACTGTCCCCAGGGTCTGCTTATCTTGGATGGCCAAGACTGACCATGCCACTGCCTTGAGG